ACAACATTTTTTATTTGGATCCTCAGCAGAGGGAGTAGAATCATACATACACTGCAGCCTTCTGTGCTCCCTGAAATTGTGTTGCTGTGGCTCAGTGGATCCCAAGGAATAGAAGATGGAACCAGCTGGAAGCCTGCAGTAGAAGCAGGGAATCAGCAAGGTCTTTTGTCTGGTTTGCATATTTGTACTGTGCTCATAGCTGTACAAATTTTCTCAAGTGGTTTCTAGGATTCTAGGAATATCAATGCATAATCTGACGAAGAAGAAACTGAATCCAACGAAGATCCTGTGCCTGAGCCACGGTGGCCCAAGGGTAGGGATCCCACTTCCGACCTTCGATGGGGCGCAGCAGGTGCCAGCGCCGGAGGTTAGGAGTCTGGGAGGATTCCTGGATGCCTCTTTAACGATGGAGGCCCAGGTAGCAGCCACTGCCAAGTCAGCCTTTTACCTTCTCCAGCTGATCAGGCAGTTGTTTCCCTTCCTCGAATGCAACGACTTGGCAACAGTGATCCACATGATGGTCACCTTGAGATTAGACTACACAAGAGGCGGGGACCCGTGGTACTCGCGGGGGGAGGAGCTCCATGTAGAGGAGGAAGCTGCTGCAGGTGAGCCTGCTCCCCTTCTCCCCCACCCCTGCCTGGCCCCGACGGTGAGGCCCATGTGGCTACCAGCCACCGGGCCTGCCAAGCCTTCTTCCCCGGCAGCAACAGTGAGACCTGAGCTGCCAAGCCTTCTCCCCCCCCCCCCACCACGGGGGCGAGGGGGACTAGTATATAGACAAAATGCGGGGACCCGCAGTATTCTTGGGGGGGGGGAGAAGGAGCTCCACGTGGAGGAGGAGGAGGAGGAAGCAGCCACAGGTGAGCCTTCTCCCCCAGCCCCCCGCACCAACGGTGAGGCCCGGGTCCACCAATCCTTCTCCCCCCCAACCCCCCAGCACTGACGGCGAGGCCCATGCGGCTCCCAGCCACTGGGCCCGCCAATCCTTCTCTCCTGCCCCGGCGGTGAGTCGCTGGGCCCACTGAGCCTTCTCCCACTCCCCCTGGTATTGGCAGTGAGGCCTGAGCGGCTCCTAGCCGCCAGGTCCGCCGAGCCTCCCCCCCAACGGCCAGAGCGTTCTCTGCGCATGCGCAAGGAACACTTTTACTTTTGGGGGGATTTAAATATTCGCCATATATTTTTTCAACTTTTTAGTTTTTTCTGCACACCTGGGGACTGCCCCAAGTGTGCAGGAAAATCTCTCTGCCCCCCAAGTGCCCCCGATGTGCGGATTTAGATATCCGCATGGAGGGGGCGACTTGGCTGTTAGATATATAGATGGGGCTGCCCTTGTCCCAAATCCAGAAGCTGCAGCTGGTGCAAAATGCTGTGGCCAGGCTGTTGATGAGTCTCACTATGTGGGAGCACATCCAGCCTGTGCTGAAATCATTGCACTGGCTGCCAGTAGCATACCGGATTTGTTTCAAAGTTCTGGTTTTGACCTTTAAAGCCCTTTATGGTCAGGGTCCGGCATACCTGAGGGACTGCCTTTTCCCATACATTCCCCAGAGAGCATTGCATTCAGGGGCCCAAAACCGGCTGGCACTCCCAGGCCTTAAAGATGTCAGGCTGGCGATAATCAGGGCCTTCTCGGTGGTGGCTCTGTACTGGTGGAATGAGCTCCCAGAGGAGATCAGAGACCTATGGGACCTTTTACAGTTCCGCAGGGCCTGTAAGACGGAGCTCTTCCACCAGGCCTTCAATTAGTAGCCGTCTTAAATATCGAGGAGTAACCCTGTGCCCTGGCGTTACCACCTTCAGCCTGTCTCACCGCATAAATTAGTCGATCAAATTGAGCTGATGTGAGAATACCATCAGGACTATCACCTAAGTAGCGGTATGGTTTAATCTAGGAATCTCTGCTCTTGCATTTTGAGTAACGTTTTCTGGCATTTTAGGAAAATGGATAATTGACTGTTGGTTGTTTTATGTATGTTTTTAACTGTATTTATATATGCATTTTTATATAAGCTGCCCTGAGCCTGCCTTGGTGGGGAGGGCGGTGTATAAATTGAACTCATAAATAAATAAATATTTTTTGACATTTGTATGCTGTGTTAATAAATATGAGGACTTTCCACACTATTAAAATGATTATATCAATATTGCCTAAAGGCCCATAAAATATGTCATTCTGTACAAAATTCTTTTCCCCCTTTTTTCACAAGGATGATTAGGTTCTGTGAAGGTGGTTGTGAGATGTTTGTTTGTTTATTTTTTACAGTTTTAAGATTCCATTCAACACATTACGCTCAATGGATCAAAATGTTCTGGTGGTCCCCGGCCCAAAGGATATCTGCTTAGTGTCAACTAGAGCCAGAGCGTTTTTGGCGCTGGCATTGGCCTGGTGGAACGCTCTCCCAGGTGAAATTCAAGCCCTGCAGGACCTGATGCAGTTCTGCAGGGCCTGCGATACGGAAATGTTCCACCAGGCCTATGGTTGAGGCGGCGGCAATTCCATCTGTACTGGCCTCCCCTGCCCCACCTTGCTTTGTTGTTCTCCTTGGCAGTTCATGCACTATAGGACCATCACAACTTTCATGGACACACCTGAAATATAGTCCTCTTTGAGAAGACAGCACATCGAGTTGCGCCAAACTGTGTGCTGCCATCTGATTGACTAGATACATATTGTAGTTATTTATTGTTTTAAATTGGATTTTAATTTCGAATTTATTATTGTTTTAACATTCTTGTTGGTACCTGATGTTACCTGCTCTGAGCCTTGCTTTGCAGGGGGCTATAAGCCTAAAATAATCTATATATATAAAAGAAAGTCCCCTCACCATAAAGTCAATGCCCAGGCCAAGCCGCTGGACCTAGAGACACCAAATTCGGGGAGAGTGCTTCTACCATGGCGTAGGTGCTCACTAAGAAGGGATTTTTAGGAATTCAACCCCTAAGTGAGAACATAAGAACATAAGAGAAGCCAATGTTGGATCAGGCCAATGGCCCATCTAGTGGGTCAAAAAGGGAAAAATGTGCTTCCCCCATTACTATGCGGCTGCCAGGCAGCTGCCTCCCTGCACTCCCCACTCTCTGATT